TAATATGTTGCCTCATGTAAGTTATAAATCTAAGTGGAATCTTAGTATTTAACTTTGTTTGTGTTATATGCGTATCATTCAATTAGATATTAGGCGGCTTCTGTTTTCGTATTTTAAATGTAATGTGGTTAAATCGACTGGGCTTTGCATTTATCATTTCATTTTTCGAGTTTTCTGATACGTTCTGGTAGTAATATGACTGCTGTTTCTGAATTAGAGTGCTTGTGTTACGTCGAAGGCACGGGGATCAGTGAAATTAAGAAATCTCTGATCGTTTCCTTGCGTCGTTCAAATGATTTCGCTTAGGTTTAAACGTTTCACGAGCAAGGTAAGAAAAATTCAGACTTTAGATATGGTGGCAGAATTTATTATGTGAATTATTAATTATGTGAATATTATGTGAACAGAGTGACGGTTAAGAATGTTAGGAGAGGGTGTGATATAACGACTCTCAATTGACGACTCTTGATTCTTCGGTGGCCAACTGAGGATCAACGGCTGCGGTGCCGAAATATATTGATGGCCGTCAGCCCTGAGGTGATTTTGGTGTAGGACGTGTAGAGTCCAAAGAAATACTCGACGGTGTTTAGCAGTATATTTATTGACAATTCTCGCTTTTGACTCTTTACGTACCATTCTCGATTTCGATTCTACTGACGATTCCAACTGACGATTCTCTCCCCTCGGTTACAACTCAACTGTTTTGTTGATCCGATTCGTGTCTTTTGTCATCCGTCAATATCCCTCCTACGCGCGTGTTCGTTACGCGTCCGCCACCGTTGCCACCTACGCCTTCCAAATATTCGGCGAAAGAACCGTAGTGATACTGATGGCTCCTTAGGCCTGTCGGCACTTGCGCTTTATCGCCGACATTGTGTTTGTGTCGGCGATCTTTTCGCGTTACTATAATAGAGACTAAAGAAGCCGTTCTACAGTGTCACTTGATTAGTACAGCCGTTTCGTCGGTGAGTATTTTGCTGTTGGTAGTTATACGCAATCCAGTGAAATCCAGTTTCAAAATTGAAGTACGCGAGAAAATTAGAGTATTATGAAGGTGCAAGACGAAAGGGCCTGATTTCCTGTACAAAAATGAGTCGAGTATGAAGTGACAAGTTTCGACACAAGACTTGGTTTTCCAGAAAATCAATTATGAAGTTCCGTCCACTTGACTCGCTACTTTTTAAGTATAGGCGTACCTACATGACGGAACTTCACAATCCATTGTATGGAAAACGAAGCAAGGAAAAATTTTATATATCTGAATGCACGTCTCAAAATACCATTCTTCCTCATACATGCATGTATGTTTTCTTAAATATTTTTTTTTTTTTTAATGATGTTTATTTAGCCCAAGATGCAGTTTTAGATACATTTTGGTATTCACAATAAATGGTGAATTTATGTAATGATATCTTAGGCAAAGGTACCGATACGCGGCGGTACGACGTCGCCATGCTATATTATGTGTCGGCGCTTTACATTTTTCGTGTTAAATACTATTTTTGGAATTGAGCTGCTGGGAACGGAGCTTTTATATTTGTTATTCTTTTAATTTTTTCTGTCCTGAAAACTTGGTCGCAAAACAGGACGCTTCGGTAGTCTGCTTTTTGGGTGCTGTGTAACTTTAGGTTTTTTTTTTTAAAAAAAAGAATTACAATAATTACACTGTTTGCACCTGTGTTATACGGGGGCAGAATTGAGTTCTATCGGTTTAATGGGTTTTCTCTCTTATTTTATTATGGATTCAGTATCTACCAATATTTTTTTGTATTTTTCCCATGTTTGTCCTCGGTACTTTAGTGTCTTTCAGAGGGAGGGCCATGTTGTATCTCCACCTAGTGTCTGCGGTCTGTCCATTTAGGTTTTCTTCGTACAGTATAGTTTGGGTTCCTATTTTTCTTTTTATGTGATAAATTATCGGGATGTTATTTTGGTCCTGGAGGTAGTTTTTTTCGTCAAGGCATGGGAAAGCTTCTGGCGGGATGTAGCCTGTTGTCAGAGTGTTTTTGTAATATGCGTCATTTCGAAATAAGCAACTGAAGATTAAACTATTTTCTTTCATCTTTGCCTCCTGCGCGAAGTGGTTTCTTATTAGCTTTAGGATGAGACAGTCTATGCGGTGAATGTTGGCTTGGTCGTATATTGTTTTGTTTTTTACATATTTTTCGAATCCGCTGTGTTCGGATCTGTAAGTACTCAAGCAAGCCCTGAAGCATTTTCTTTGGAATATGCGGATTTTTTCCATCTGGGAGGCTGATATGTTGTACCAGATTGGGCAGCCGTAGGTTATGATCGTAGATTAATGCTTGGTAGCATAGTATTTTTACTTTGCTGTCGAGATGTTTGGAGTAATGTAGGAGGTTGAATGATGAAATTACTAGTAGATGAAATCGTTAATGTATTTAAAGTTGTCAATACAATGTCCTAGTTGCGAAACGTGTGTATAAAGTCGTTTGGTCGCAGTTTATAATAATCCGTTTGCGATCGCGTCCGTTTATTTATAGTAGTCGGGGGGGAATCGGAAGATTCAAATTTGTCTTTGTTTTACGGTTACGGGTAGCGGCGTCGTTGTTTTGCTCGGAGTTTGTTTATTCTTACATTATACGTAACCTAACGAACTTTATACTCCGAAGCGAAACAACAACACGATTTGAATCGAATTCTAACTCTTGTGCCGCTACATCACCCCCCTACCAGTGATAACGTTTTTATTGCATTTCCAAAAAAAGTCCCCGTGTTTAATACCTTATGATGTCTAACCGAAACCTGCCTGTAGCCGATCGGGAAAACGGACTCTTCGGCCAGACCGCGTAATGTACCTATTGCCAGTGTTTATTTCGTTGCTTTCGTTTGTTCTACTGGAATAAGTATGTCACGGGTTTCGGCGGTTTTCCCTTCGAGATCCTCTGATACTACGAAGGCTGGCTTTAGCCGGTCGACGGAAACCGTTATATCGCGACTGTTGACATCGGTACTGTACGTTTTCTCGCCTCTTCGCGTTACTCTAAACGGCCCATCGTAAGGCGACTGTAATGGGCCTCTGGTTGCGTCGTATCGTAAAAATACATAGGGGGAGACTCAAATTCGCGGAAAGTGAATAATTTCTTTTCACGGTGTTGTGTAACGAGCTGAGACCGGACTTTCTCCATTTGTTCCTTGAGCAGGGTTGCGAATTCCGAGGTGGCCCGCTGCTTAGTTGGTAGTTAGTTGTTCTGCGGACAAACGTATGCCGGTGCCGTATATCATCTCGGCTCCCGTTGCGTTTAGGTCCTCCTTTATCGCGGTTCTAATGCTAATAGCACAATTGGCAGAATTTCGACCCAGTTGCTCGTGTCGTGGCACCTGATCGCCGCTTTAAGCTGTCTATGCAGGCGTTCTACCATCTCATTAGACGCAGGATGATAGGCCGATGTCCGTAGGTGCGTGACGCCGAGCAACCGGCACAACTCTTCGAACAGACGCGATTCGAATTGGCGTCCTTGGTCGGTTACACGTAGCGACGACGTTGTTTTGCTCGGAGTTTGTTTATTCTTACATTATACGCAACCTAACAAACTTTATACTCCGAAGCGAAACAACAACATGATTTGAATAGAATTCTAACTCTTGTGCCGCTACCAACATGATTTGAATAGAATTCTAACTCTTGTGCCGCTACAGTAGAATAGTTTTTTTATTTTCCAGAATGCTTTATTGGCCTTAGCAAGTTGAATTTCGGTGTGCTGCTTGTAGTTTAATTTGTAGTCTATGTTTATTCCTAGGTATTTCACGCAGTTTTTGTGTGGTATGAGAGCCCCTTTGTGTGTTTTTTCTCTTAGTTGAAATTTTTTACGGCGTTCTTTTTCTATTGGGCCGATTTTACTTGACTTGGGTCTAAACAGTATGGTTTGCTTGTGTTGATTTTTAGTTTCCATGCGTGGTAATAGTCATATATTTTTTCGAAAAGTTCTTGACGTTCAGTTTTTATTGTCTTAGTTTTGCGGCCTGTTACGTAGATGATTAGGTCAGCTGCGAAGGCTATGGTTTCTTAAATATTTAGTCTATTCGATAACATGAAATAATAAAACTGATTACTTCAGCCAACGCTCATATGAGGCTTAGATGATAAAAATAAGAAGATTGAGCCGTAACACAACTATTAACTTTCCTTTCATCAAACTTTGTGTTAATAAGATATGGTTGTATACACCAAGAAAATATCTTTTTAGCATTAAACGATTATTACCATAAGTTATATCATTCTCGCATATACGCTTACTTATATATTGCTTTGTTTATATTTTCCGGTAATGTTATATGTATTTAATATTCGGACCTGGAGAATGTACAAGTATTCTATATACGTATGTCGTTTGAAAGAATGCAAAAATACATGTGCCGAAAATTGTGATACAAATCGAAGGCGAAAATAATTCCCCGCGCGCGGCGAAAATGATGTCAAAAATGTAAAATGACATTTTTCGCTTTATTTCCGCGAAAATCAATTATGAAATTTCCCCTACTTAACTTCACAGTCCATTTTCTCGAAAACGAAGTCGAGCAAGATTTTACATATCTTCTTTATTCTCCTACATAATTGTACGTCGTAAGTATTTTTTATTCGATAATATTAAATAAGAAAATTGATTACTTCAACTAACGCTCATGCCGAGCTGAATGCACTCTTTCTCGTCAGAGTGCTGTGATCCACCCAGCAGGTCGGACTTCACTGGCCAAAAATACCAGGCGTTAAACTCGTTAGTGAGTTTGCCAATTTATACTGTGATATTCAATAACGAAAAGTGATAAGTAATGCTCACTATAAAAAAACAAGAAGGGAGAAGGAAAAAAGATGAAAAGAATGAAAAGAGCAACCGAAAGAAAAATACTATAGCAAAAATTGATCGAGGACGCGAAAAGAACGAAACCATAAATTTAGCAAATAGCTCCCCATTATCAGCAATACGAACGGAAAATAGGTTCAGCGTATTGCAATCACAAGAGTCCAGCCTATCTCAGACACAGCAATACCCTCAAATAATAACAATAAAAGAATTCACAATAATAAGGAAAAAGAACAGATACGTACGGAAGAAAGTAAGTAGACACACGGCCTCTCAGGACGGGACATCACAAGCTGAGAGAGAATAAAGAATGGACGGAGAGGTATTCCATCATCCACGAAACCCTCAACGTCCCAAGCGCAGCCCAGAGAAGTGGACAACGCAGGGGGCCCATCTCCAGGGGCAATGCTACCGAGAAGCCAGACGCAACCCGGACAGATCACCAGCCTCTACAAGGAAGAACGCTGACTCCACAGTCCCCACAAATAAAGACAAGCGGCCTCCAATATACATCACCCATCAAGACTGGGGAGAGACAGTAAAACTCATTGAAGAGACCCTAAACACAAAGTCATTCCACATTAAACGAATATACGCAGAAAAACACGTGCTATTCCTACGAAGTATACCAGATTTTAACAAAGCGAAAGAAATCCTAATTGCAGTTCAAACAGCCTTTTACGCACATACAGCCACATTGGAGAAGTACCACACGGTCTCACTAAAGGTTCTAAACAATTGCTTCTCCGAGACAGAGATAGTCGCAGAGTTGCAAGCATTGCAGATGTCGGACGTCCCCAATTGACAAAAGATTGGCGCTTCTCGACAAAAAGATGAATAAAGAATAATGTATAAAGAATAATTCCTCTCAATTTACATAATTCAAGTATCCGCACAAAGCAATGTTAGTAATGTACTAAAAATGAACTTTGTTAAAAATTGTGTAAAACACAACTTTTGTTTGTGAACTTGTGTAAAAATGAACTGAGTTACTTTAGGATAAAATGGGAAAAGGTCAGAAGTAATGACATAACGCAATGTCACAAATGTAAACAGCATGGAATCGCACAGACCAAGCGAGTGCAAAATCAAAAATGATGACGCAGTAAACAAAGACAAAGTGCAGTGCATGAACTGTAAAAACTACGGATATCCTGCTTTGTATAAAGGATGCTCAAAACAAACGTGTTGCTCAAATAAGCCGTAAATTCATGCCGTACTTCTCAGACATCCTAAGACAAGGAATAAGCCGAAACCAAGTCTCCGAAAACCAACCACGTCAAACAAATTTATTACCGCGCGTAATTCAAAATCCGAACCCAATTAAAACCATACCACAGCTGAACGTAATAAGCTTATAGAACCTTCAAAGAAAACATATTCAAAGCCCTAAATGAACAACAAGCACAATTAAACGAACTAAAACAATCATTAAAACGCACGAAGAAAGAATTGAGTCTTGACCAAAAGGTGGCTCGTTACCTAGTCATATGCCTTGGAGACACACAATTACAATTCCGTAATTTACGGGCAACTAACACGCTCAAAACAAGAGACTACGATTACGACCATAACGCTCTCGTATTTCAGATAAATAAAAATACATCTGACTTCCTAACGCTAGAAACACGAAGTGACGGACCCAGGTACAAGTAAAAGACAACAAACTAGGAAATATTACAAAATCAGCTCGAAAAGAACTGCGACCTAAATGTCCACAACAATGTCAACCTAACAAAGAGGAAAATCGATTCGTTTATAGACGAAATAGAAAAACATGCCCTTCAAGAATCCGTACTAAAAATAAAACAAAAGTCGGAGACGAAAGCTTCATATTATGCAAAATAAACAATCTAAAATAAAACTATTCCTACGATAAAAGAGAAGATTTAGTATTATTAAAGTACCATTTGCACAAAATAAAGTTGTGTTTAAAACAAGAATTCGCAAACTCTATAAATCAACACTGGGCAAACAAAATAAAAAGTATCTCTAAAAAGGACTCTGTTAGCATGTCCCACAGAGAAATCAAATTTTTACATCAAAAGAACCAAACTCTATCTCATCTCTCAAACTGCCTTTAGACGAGAACGATTCCATTCAGCGCGGTATGAGAGTTAGCTGAAATAAGTGATTTTCTTATTTGCTTTTAATGCACAAAAAAAGAATATTTGAAAAAATATAAATGTGTGCAAAAATGAGTGATACTAGTCGCATAATACTAAAACATTTCTATTTCTCTATGTTTAGATTATAGATTATTGAAAATAGATTATTATGGAAAGTAAAAAAGATTGGAAAAATAAAAAGGTGAGCACCACGCAGAGTTCGCAAGCGGTCACCTATTTAAATACTTCTTCCATCTTAACTTTCGTTATCGAACGAGAACGAGTGCTTTTTTAATTTTTAATTATAACTTAATTATTATAATTTAATTATATTGTCCAAGAAAATACATAGTACATATACTGAATAAACAAAGAATTTCAGTTGAGAAATGGCTCTGGCAAAAGTATCGTTGAACGTGACGGCATGACGTAGTTATAAAATATTTGCAATAGGATTTACGTGTTTTTTACATTACAGTAATTGATTGTATTAAAGCTGCTCAGAAGCGTTACTTTAATACAATACTGGCCTTTTCTCTTCTTTTGCCCTGAAAGTTTGGCAAAGAACTGAATAAATCGGTAGTTTATTTTTGAATTTTGTGAAGTTGATTGTTTGTGAAAGGAGGTGGAAGAGGGACAGGGTAGCGAAGAGATGGAGAAAAAATGTCATTTAAATATGTTACAATATTTACATTTATTTTACAAGTGGAGAGATTGAACGCTGGTGACGTTTCGCGGTTCTCCTTTTCTTTTTGATTTCGGTATCCAATAATACTTTTTTATGTTTTTTTTGTGTTTGTCTTTTGTGTTTTTTGCAGAAGAGCCATATTGTATCTCCATCAGGTATTTACGGACTGTACATTTAGCCAGTCTTGAGTGTATTTTTCTGGTATAATTCGTTTGGAAATAGACAACTGAAAATACACTATTTTCCTTTATCTTTGCAGCTTGAGCGAAGTGATTTCTTGTCAGTTTTAGGATGTCACAATCAATGCGGTGTATATTGGCGGTGTATATAGATTTTTTTATTTTTAACGTATTTTTTAAATTCACTATGTTCGGATCTGTGTGTACTCAAACAAGCCTTGATGCATTTTCTTTCCAATATACGAACTGAGGTGGATAGCACGTCGTGTATGGTGCCAAAGGAATACTCGGCATTTTGTTTAACAATATATTTATTAACTCATCTAATGACTTCTTTACACTAACTGGACTCGCGACTTGTGTGAACAATTTCATCATGATTCTCTATTTCGACTGATCAGTCACGCTTTTCGGTCACAACTCAACTTATCTCTTAATCCATTTCGTTTCTTTTTGTCTCTCAATATCCCCACTACGCACGCGTTCGTTAGGCGTGCGTGATCATGGTCCCCTAAACCTTCCAAGTATTTGGCGGAAGGACCATAGGGATTTCGATGGTTGCTTAGACCTTCTTGTAGCACTTACGCTTCGTTGCAGCCTTGCTTATGTTTCGTCGGTCTCTCGTAAACAGTCTTTCAACGGTGGTATACTATGTACCGACGAAACCCTTGGTATGTTCTTTGTTGTCGAGTGCTGCTACAGAACTCTTTCCATTAACTAGGCTGGTAAGTTATACCTAGTTATATATACATTAGTAGTTACGTATATATTGAACAACCGTAGGTTGTGATCGGTCTAACTAGTGCTTGGTAACAGAGGACTTTTACTCTGTTGTTCAGGTGTTTCGAATAGGATAATCTTTTTGCCTTTCATAACGCTTTGCTTTCTTTGGTAAGTTGAATTTCAATATGCTGTTTGAAGTTTAATTTGTCGTCTATATTTAGTTTATATATAATTTTTGTGGGGAATGAAATCCCCTTCATTTGCTTTTTCTCTTAAGTGGAATCTTTTGCCGCGTTCTCTTTCTAGTGCGCCGAGTTCTCTTTCTAGTGCACCGAGTTCTCTTTCTAGTGCGCCGAGTTCTCTTTCTAGTGCGCCGAGTTCTCTTTCTAGTGCGCCGCGTTCTCTTTCTAGTGCGCCGCGTTCTCTTCCTAGTGTGCCTCGTTCTCTTTTTAGTGCGCCGAGCTCAATTAATTTGCGTTTAAATAGTATAGTTTGATGTAGTTGGTTTTCGGAGACTTGGTTTAGCGATATTCCGTTTTTTGCGAAGTTCAACGAGTTTTGGGCATTCTTTATACGACACAGTCCACTTTGTCTTTGTTTGCCGTGTCTTCTTTTTTTATTTTGTGCTCGTCAGGTCCATGTGGTTGGATGTATTTTACGCATCGGTAGTTAAGGTTGCAGTTTTGTGAAGTGTGCGGTAGCAGTTGACATATTGTGGCATTGTATAATGTCATTTTTCTGATTTGTTCCCTATTTACACTAAAGATATTTAGACGGTTCATTCTTAATAGATTACTAATATTGCTTTGTGAAGATACGTGGATTTTGTAAATTGGGAGCAATATATTGTTCTCTACCGATCTTTTTGTTGAGAAGCACCAATCTTTTGTCAATTAGATATCGAATATCTGCAGTGCTTGCAGCTCTGCAAATATTTCTGCTCCGGAGATGCTATTGTTTAGAATCTTTAGGGAGACCGTGTGGTACTTCTCCGATTTGGATGTTTATGCATAAAATGTCTTAGTTGCAATTAGGATTTCTTTCGCTTTGTTAACGCCTGGTATATTTTGTCGAAATAACATGTGTTTATCTGCGTATATTCGTTTGATGTGGAATGACTTTGCGTTTAGTGTCTCTTCAACGAGTTTTACTGCGTTTTTCGGGTTTTGATGGGTGATGTATAATGGGAGGCGGTTTGTCCTTGGAGAAGTTGATGGCTTGTGTGCGATATGTCTGCTTTTTCCGCATTGCTGGAGATAAGGGCCTCCTACGTTGTCCATTTCGCTGGGCTGCACCTGTGACATTGAGAGTTTCGTTGATTGTTTACTCTTTCTTAATTTGTGATTTCCCGTCCTGAGAGCCCATATGCCCACTTGGTTTAATTCCTAGGTTTTTGCTCTTTTTCCTTGTCAGTTTTAAAGTAGAGTTTGGCCTTGTGGATTCTTTTATTGTTTTTATTTGATGACGCTACTTTGTCTGAGATATGCTGGATTCTTGTGATTGTAATACGTGGATACGTTTTCGTTGTATTGCTAATAATAGGGAGCTTTCTGCCGAATTCATGATTTTGTCTTTCATGTCTTCATTCATGTCTTTTTCTTCGCATCTCCTGTTGTGCTCTCTTCTTTACTTTTATTTTCTTGGCTACTTTCTGTTCTTTTCTTCCTGTTCCACCAGGTTTGGCGGAGGGTTGAGTTTCCGCGTCTTTTGGGAGCCTTGTGTTGCTAAGAAAGGTCTTGATCTATTTTTGTAGTAGTATTTTTCTACTGATTGTCCTGTTTATGGGAGGTTTCGATTCACTGCCTTGAGCACCACTATTTGAGCGGAACAATTGCGTTTAGAGCAGTATGAGCGTTGGCTGAAATAACTAGTTTTCTTATTTGTCTTTGCTGGCCAAAAAGACAGAATATTTAAAGAAACATAAATGTGTGCAAAAATAAGATTGATATAATGTGAGGTAATAATCGTGTAATAGCAAAACATTTCCTTTCCTCGATGTTTAGATTATAGATTATTAAAAGTTGATTGTTAATGAAAGTAAAGGAGATTGGGTAAATAAAAAGAAGCCAGGATCACACACGCGGAGTTCCCAGGCGGCAGCCATTCAAGTACTATCCGTGCCCGGCGCTGCTTAACTTTCGTGATCGGACGAGAGCGAGTGCTTTTTTTTTTATAATGTTTATTGACCAGTAGATAAGTATTACATTTGCTGTGGCGTTTTCAATAAACAATGAATTTCGACATGGCCGACATGGCCATACAATGTGTGTCGGGATTACATTTTTTAGCGTTATAATTTATAACTTTGATTTAAGTCGCTGTAGAGCGGTGCCTATATACGATAATTTTTCTTCCTATCTCATATATTCCTATATTCAATTATTTTACGAGGTACAGCCATTTTTGTGACGCAACATCTGCTTCGGTCCGACCGGAACAAATGAACAGTAAACGGTAGACGTTGTCCGAGCAAACTTGTCTCGAAACTTTAAACGCGCTTTTCTCGAACATACTTTTTTCGAGTTGGCGTGCTCGATATCTCAAGTTCTAATGAACCGGTTTATTTTAAATTTGGTCTGAATATTCCTTATATACTCCTCTTTCGTCCGGACCACGCTCAGCACAAAATCTTTAATATTACTATTTTTTAAAAGTTCGGAATTGTCAAAAAACGTGCGAAATAAGAAATTTGTTTTCAAACGGCCGTCATTTCGTGAAAAAATGTTGTATTGATTTTTCCAAGGTTCAGACGATAGCGGCATTCATACTAATTAAGAATCCGTTCGCATTTTTTGTTTCGGATGACCAGAAGGGTTGATATCATGCACGTCACGACACCCCATTTTTTTGGCAGCACCCACATTCCCAGCTCATAACTTTTTAAATATTGAATTTTTTTCCAGTGAATTTTTTACGTAATCTTGAAATATCAATAAACAAATGCTAAAAAGAAGGATAGCAAAAATATTTTTTGTTTCATCTTGTACAACACTTCAAAAATCGCCCGAAATTCATGTCTCTAGACCAGAATACCCCCTTAAGATCGGCCTGATTAGCGTTTGGTAGCTTAGGATTTTTACTTTACTGTTGAGATGTTTTGAATAGAATAGTCTTTTTGTTTTCCAGAATGCTTCGCTGGTTTTGAAGAGTTGAATTTCGATCTGCTGCTTGTAGTTTTGACATGATCGTCCGTGAAGGTGCCCACAAGAAAATGCCCTTGATTTTCAACACTAACGTTTATTAGACTCTTAACAATTAACAACAAATAACGTTTAACCACGTTTAACGTTTAACCACGTTTAACGTTTAACAACGATTAATACTAAGTAACGATTGAAACTGATTCTCAAGAGTAGACGACTCATTTCTTTACTCGTGTTTGCTTCTCTTAACCTATCGCACTTCGCAGCTCGGGATAGAATGAATCTTTTGGTTCAAAACCGAACAGATTCTGTCCTTAGTTGCCCTTCGATATCCCCACTACGCGCGCGTTTATTAGAAGTCCGCGACGGTTGCCGCGTGTGCATTCTACCGAATATTCGGCAAAAAAACCGTAGGGATATCGATGGTACGTTATGCCTGTCTGTCTTACGTTTTAAAGGTATAGCGCTTTGTGCCGCGAAGCCGTTGAAAATTTCCGTGGTCGAGTGCCGCCACAGTTTAATTTGTCGTCTATATTTACGCCTAGATATTTTACGCAACTGTTATGCGATATGAGCTCCCCTTGGTTCGCTTTTTTACTTAGTTGAAATTTTTTATGGCGTTCTTTTTCTATTGGGCCGATTTTACTTGACTTGGTTCTAAACGGTTCTTGTAGTTCTGTTTTTACTGTTTTGATTTTGTAGCCTGCTACGGCTTATTTGGGCGATCCGTTCGTTTTTTGATTTTTTGACGTATGACGCGGGACGCCCAAAGTTTTTGCAATTTCCGCAGTAAATTTTGTCTTTGTTTACTGCGTCTTCTTTTTTTATTTTACACTTGCCTGGTCCGTGCGACTCAGTGCATTTGACGCAGCGGTAGTTGAGGTTGCAATTTTGAGCCGTGTGTCCTATCATCTGTCACTTGTGGCTATGTTTTTTTTTTTTTAATTTTTTTTCCCCATTCTATCCTAATAGTTAAAACGGTTGATTTTTAATAGGTTATTTGTGCTGCTCTGGGGGGATAATTGAATTGTGTAAATTGAGTGCAATATGTCGTTCTCTTGGTTCTTCTCTTCCTAAACAGCGAGACTTTTGTGGAATAGCGCGTCGTCTATTTATAAAGCTTTTATTAATTCCACAATTAAATTTGGTGTTATGGCTTCTTTCGTTGGTCCAGTTTGTGGTTGTAACTTGGTGGTCTCTTGGCATTGTAGTATATCGAATCTATTTTTGATTCGGATAGTTAAGAATGGGGTGGTTTTTGTACGCTTAATGGTTTCTTTTTTTCAGTCTTTCCTTCTTGGATGTAGTGCTGACGAGAACAAGTACACTCAGCGCGGTATGAGCGTTGGCTGAAATAACTATTTTTCTTATTTATCTTTGCTGGCGAAAAAAATAGAATATTTAAAGAAATATAAGTGTGTGCAAAAATGAGAATGATATAATGTGAGATAATAGTCGTGTAATACCAAAACGTTTCTTCTTCTCGATACTTAGGTTATAGATTTGAGGTTGATAGATCGTTATATATGCCGAAAAAAAAACTAGAGTATAGTTAACAATATATCTATTCACAAATACTCTCGATATACACTTTGCGTGGAGCTTGCGATTACAATTAGCAGTGCGCGATACAAGTTCGCATGATGATTGCTCAAAATGTGTCAAGGAACTCTGGTTAAGTATCAACTACCCACTGCTAACTACCAACTGTATAATTTTTCTCGCCTGGTATCACCTTATGTGGCCCGTCGTAGGGTGGTAGCAATGGGTCTTCGTTCGCGTCATGGCGTAAAAATACATAAGGCAACGTTTCTAGTTCGCGAAAAACGAAAGTTTTCTTCGCGCCGTGTCGTGTAATCAAGTGTGGCCTGATTTTTTCTATTCGTTCTTTTAAACGATTCCCATATTCCGAGTTGGCTTGTTGCTTTGCCGGTGCAAAGAATTCTGCTGGCCATCGTATGTCGGCGCCATAAACCATTTCGGCTGTCATTGCATTCTGGTCCTCCTTTATAGCAGTTCCCATACCCAATAAAACAATTGGTAAGATTCGTGACATTCGGTTGCTGCTTTCAGTTGTCGATGCAAACGCTCTACCATCCGGGATAGACTGTCGTGCACAAATGCTTTGTGGGGGGTGTGATTTATAACGATTTTATAAAAGCACAAGCAATTATGGAATCAATCTCTAGTAGAAAAACGACTATTGATTAGTATCAAGCAGTCTCAATACTCAAGTAAGTGTATTACGTTAAGTATACAAGCTATTAAGTTATGCTGAATTAAATTAATTTACATAATATTTCAAAGAGAATATATAAAGCGTGAATGAATACGTCTCTATATAATCAGACAATCATCACTTTCAGATAAATCCTACAAAATTATAAATCAAACGACTAAACACGACTTAATATCAGTCGTAGTTTAACTATTGTAATACAATATCAACCATTACACCGAAAACGTCGACGGCTATCGACTAATTTACATCAAAGAACGGACAACATGAACGTAAACATCGCGTCGAGTCCTGTAAGATTAACAGAAGCCTCCTCAATGATTATCACGGCTAAAGTCGTGGTCCGAGCAGAGTCTTCGTTTGCTTGAAATACGAGGACCCGTCTCCATTTACGTGTATCTTGGATGCAGAACTGTGAGCGTTGAAACATTGATCCTTTCTTTACGATTACTGCCATCTGCCTTTATTATTCGCCGTGTACAGTCTGCGCTACTTTTAAAACGGATATCTTAACTTTGTTCGAAGGAGGAACTTGTCTCTGAATATATGAGTATCAGCCAAAACATTACATTTTTACATTACGCTTAAAGCAAATGAATGCTTCTTTTTGTAATTACGTGATAAAATTAAATTTTAGGTTTGAAGTTTAATTTAATCTAATTATAGCTTAGTTGAGGATTGAAAAATTACTGATCCATGTTCGATCGTTCAAAGAATTTTTTTACAGTTAAGAATTATTAAAGAATTAAATGTTTGATATAATTAAAGTTTAATGGAGAATTGAACAATTGTTGATGCACATTTGACAATTTAAAAAGTTCTCTATAGTAGACTATATAAAACCTGTGACGGGTGTGAAGAGGGAGAGAGTTGCGTTTCGTCCCGGGACTACCGGTGGACTCGTCAGTAAGGCTGTGCCCGGTAGTCCCTGCCTTAGACGTAGAGGGCGTCTCGCTAGATGCGGTATTTATATCAATCGCTCGTATATTCGTAGCCCTCTAGTGTTGGGCGGTTGGTACCCGCGGCTCGATCTGTCGGCGTCCTCTATTGATACCGATCCGCCACAGCTTAATGCCGAGCAGCCGGCATAATTGCTTGAATAATTTTGATTCGAATTGGCGTCCTTGATCAGATGTTATTTTAAAAGGCGCGCCGAAACGAGAAACTAGGGCCGAGGCAACTGTTATCGCTTCCATATCGACGATGGGAATGGGTTCGGGTCAACGCGAAAAACTGTCGATACAGGTTAGTTAATATCGGTAGCCCAGCGAATATTGCATTACGATAACATCTGTATGTATATGTCTAGTCCTCCTGCTAACTATCCGAATATTCCGACGGGTGAGGATACGTGTCTGGTGACCTTACATCGCTGACACGGGATACATTGCGGTGTCCAGTTTCGACGATCCTTGTTTATCGACGGCCAGACGAAACGTGACGTCACCAGTTTTTGCGTGGCACGTTTTCCTGGATGGGAAAGTCCGTGGAGCGAATTAAATACGTCGGGCCGCAAGGATTTCTGTACGTACAGTCGCACAATGTCGCCTGGTACGTCGCAATATATTTTTACGTCGTGATCAGGGAAACGTATCCTCTTTAACCGTGTAGATGTTTATGTGAAGAGGATGTAGGTACTTGAGAATTAATGACGAGATTACTCGTTGTTGTAACCGTCGAATATATTTAAATCGATAAGTAAACGTGAGTCGTTGGTACGAAGTATAAATCGCAAAATAAAATCGCGGAATACTCGTAAAGGCTCGTCGCGTAACTTGGTAGACGCTCGTCGTTCGCGATCGTGTTCGTTTATTTATATTGGTCGAGGGAGAGTCGGAAAATTCAAATTCGTCTTCATTCGACGGTTGCATGTAGCGGCGACATTGTTTTGTCCGGAGTTCATTTGTCATTTTGTTTCATGCGTCAAGGCTAAGTCAATGTCCTGAGGCAAAACAACAAACACGAGTCGTTCTCGACTCGCGTCGTCCTTTGACTCCTGTGCCGCTACAATTGTAACCGGAGTTGACGATGTCGCTTAGTTCGTTGTCGTTTCCTTGCGCGGCGGCGAGAGTTTGATGATCCACAAACTTCCCTATCGCTTCGATACGTGATAAAGCGTCGGCCACGTTATTATCTAGTCCCTTTGTGTATCGTATGTCGGTGGTGAATTGTCCGATGTAATCAGTCGCGGCGAACACTTATTGGAGATTTGATTGAACGCATATGTAAGGAGTTTATGGTCCGTAAAAATTATGAAATTTCTCCCTTCTATGGTCCGTCGAAATCGCCTGACCGCGGTGTACATAGCGAGTAGTTCGCGGTCGTACGCGCTATGCTTTCGCTGCGCGGAATTCAAAGGTTTGGTAAGAAAGTTTAACGGCTGCCAAGTATCGTTGACACGTTGCTGCAGGACCGCTCCTAATGCATAGTTGGATGCGTCTACCGCGAGGCTAACGGGCGCTCCAGGTATCGGATGCGCTAACGTGGCGTTTGCGAGGGCGCGTTTCGCCCTAGGTTCGGATTGCTCCGACCATTCGGTGGGCGCGTTGCCCTTTTTCCCCCTCCTTGTAACAGGTCATTGAGAGGTTGACAAATTTTTGCGGCTCCCGGTATGAAACGTCTCTAAATATTCTAATATCTGTATCCTTCCTTGTTGCATTTTTGTAAACCGTTTACAAAGCGTTTACAACAGAAATTCCCAGAAGGAGATGAATGCCAAGTTTTCTGTACCATTAGATTCCTTTTCTAAGTGTGATGGCAAATAAAATAAATAAAAAAATAGGAGTCATCGATAATGAACCAAAAAGAAAGGAAACGAAACCCACCGTAGACCCAATAAAAAAAGCCATCAAGAGAAAAATAATC